TTCTTATAGAAGCAAAGTCTCAGCCCTCGAGTAGGCCTCTTGCAGGTTTACATCTCACGGACTATACCTCATCTTTATGGTAATGAATGGACCAGATAAAACATAGATAAATCTATCCTTGGCACCGGACAAAAGGAGAACTAACATAGATCGAGTCTATCTTCCATTCTCAAACAGCTCTTCAACAGAACAGCACTTCAAGGCTGTGAATTACACAGTTGAATCAAAAAGGTCGAGATTGAAAATAATATATTCAAAATAAAAGTGATGTTCCAGTGAAAACGCCTCTATCCAATTTGTAAGTCGCTCTGGATAAGAGCGTCTGCTAAATGACGTAAATGTAAATGTAAATGTATTCATCTGCAGCGTTTACATTGGCTGTCTCCTGGCTGTGTAACATTAACAGTGTTTGGAGCATCGTTCTAGTTAATGGATGTATTTATGCTGTGCTGGAGCGTGAGGCCTTTGACAGACTACAGGTGTTTTAACTATGTACCGCAGCTGGAGAATCAAACGCACGGTTTATCAGACCTATGCAGCAGACTCACTGCATGCCCCATGTTTATTACATGAGCTTTACCTCACACATAACTATCCTCACACAGCACAGGACTCATGTTCCATTCTATAGCTGCTTGATTGGGCACTGGGTTGGGTTTGTATTGTCATTAAATGAGCACTGATTGCCTCTACAGTACTGATTGCCTAGTATTGTTTGTCAAAGACAGTGTTGCATCATAGGAGGAAAGGGCACTCACTGGTAATTAAATGCGGTTTTGAATGAGAAATGATTTATATTTACATTGTAATAATAATAATATGCCATTTAGCAGACGCTTTTATCCAAAGCGACTTACAGTCATGTGTGCATAAATGTTTACGTATGGGTGGTCCCGGGGATCGAACCCACTACCCTGGCGTTACAAGCGCCATGCTCTACCAATTGAGCTACAGAGGACCACCCATTATCAATGGAAATATATGTAAAAATTAGAAATTGACAATTATAAAGGAGGTTACACCACAGTACTGGTAGGCGAAGCCTGCATGGAACATTTCATTTTTATATCATTGTGCCGAGACTGGCATACAGAAGAGTTCCAAAATGAAAGAGTTCATATCACACAAGTGTGTGTTTGTGTGAGTAGAACATATAATTGATGCAGTAGGTCATTATTTGAACTATATTTGATTGCTTGCATCAAACAAGTCCAGGTTTTCTCCAAATGAATATAGAGTTATTTTATTGTGTCTTCACATATTCCACCTTGTTCTAAAATCTTTATTCCACTATGATACAGGTTCATTACCTTCTCATTGTCTCACTTTCATATGGTAGTAAACACACCAGCCAACTATGTGGTCTTGATTAAACAGGTCCTATATGCCCTTATGTGGAACACAGCACTGGTCAGGATGCCCAGTGTCTGGAGCATTTGTATTGCCTTCAGTGATGTACACCTTCCAGCCTTGGATTGATCACAAGGACAGCAGGGTTACAGTCTGCATCCAGATTTGGCTGACAAAAAAAACAGAGCACATGTATGATGAGGCCTGCAACTTCCTAAACCACATGTGAAGAGCAACAACTAGCCTACATTATGTGGTCAAAAAAGGAAAAGCAGGCCTGTGGGTGAGACATAGACCTTAGATTGAAACAGTTGCAGCCAATGTGGAAATTAGTGGCGATTGGTTGGCCAAGTGTTATGGGTAAGGAGGCTTGCGAGACACTTTCTGTTTCCTGTGAGCCACAGAGAACCCATGTGACAAAAGATGCCACATGTTCTAGCAGTATCCTGTCAACAGTCTGAACCATATCTATACCAGCCACAGAGCTCCTAGTAAGACCAGTAGGAGAATAGCTGGAGTTTTGTGCATTAAAATTGTCTGGTGGTGGTGGAATGGAAAGTTTCAGGGACAAGGGTGAGATAGAAAGGAATTTTTACAGATGACACAACTGAGGAGGACGGTTTCCTGTTAAAACACTTACATGACACTAAGAGGCCTACATGTGGGGGACAATGTGCTCAGTTCAAGTCATAGGCCTACTACACTTGAAGCTTCAATTACAAAACGTTTATTTAATCTACCATTCACACTTGCATTTTCCTGTGGCACAGCATTGTACCATTATATAGGCACAGAATAGAGTGTGAACAATGGTGTGCACTCTTAGGGGAAAAAAAAGTGCTATCTAGAACCTAAAAGCGTTTTTCAGCTGTCCCCATAGGAAAACCCTTTTAAGAACCGTTTTTGGTTCCAGGTAGAACCCTTTTGGGTTCCATGTAGAACCCTTTCCACAGAGAGTTTTACATGGAACCAAAAATGGTTCTACCTGGAACCAAAATGGGTTATCCTATGGGGACAGCTAAAGACACCTTTTTGAACCCTTAAAAAATATATATAAGAGTGTGTGTGTTTTAACAGTAAGAGGTCCAGTCTAAAGCCTTAGGTAGAAAGGAAGCCAGGCCTGAGTGTGTCTGCTAAATAAACACCTGATGAATCAGGAGAACTCACTGGAGTCTATCGGACTGGGGAGAAGAACAGGAGAAGCAGAGAAAGAAGTATAGCCTATTTTCATTGGGCCACTGTGCAAAAGATTGAGGGTTAAATACTTAATCCATAATAATCCTATTCATACAGAAGTGATTCCAATTTTCAGATTATGTGATTTTTATGTGATCTATCAATGTCATTCTGTCTGTGTAGGCTGGTCATGTTTTTATTGTAGCCTAACCCTGCCCGAAATTACATGAAAAAAATATCCTTAAAAGTAGACTACAATAAATAATCTAGCATGACATGCAAATTAATTATGTAGCACAATAACATAATATCAATAATTTAGGTCTATTGAGCACTAAAATAGAATTCTGGCTTAATTCAATTTACATGAGAAACACTGACATCTTACCTGCTAACAAGAACGTCGGCAACAGAAAGCAGTAGAGCAGTCCACATACCACCTGAAGTTCCATGAGCGCGCTTCCCAAATGCACTGCTTAGCTCCAGTCTACAGTCCCGCTGACATTCCTCGACGGAACGTTAAATTCCACCCAATCAATTTTAATAAACCCAGTCCGCAAAATTGTTCATGGTTTTCAAAACAGTCTTTTGAAACCGAGAAAATAACGCGGTGCGGTCATTCCACTAGGCAGACATATGACTTCCAAAAGTAAACTTTTTCAAGTTTCCAGAGTGGTGGACCAATGAAATCTATTGATGTTCTTGTTCTGTAAATCCACAACACATCTTCACCTCCTCACATTTCGGGGGATATAACGATTATTCGCACGAAATTGTAAACAAAAACTATCAGCTCTCCCGTATTGAAACAACTCTCCTCTCTTGCCGCCCCTTGGACTGAATATTCCCTGTAAAGCAATATCTTCATGGAAAAAGTGATTCACCAGTAGGACCTACTGCAACAGTTGAACTGTTCTTTCAGTCGCTGTCAATCCAATTCACTCTCACTGGGTTGGCACTTCCTCTGAATGTTTTTCTCTCTTCATATCCTAGCTAACTATTTTAAGGTGTCTTTTAGAAAGCAACATGTCAAGAGGAAGACTATCCCACAAGCCTACCCAATTAATGTATGGTAATTTCGAATGAAACGAATTAATGTTTCAGCGTATTCAGCTATTCTACATCATAGTTAACGCATGTTTGAGGACCTCTCACTGTCAGCAGCATCAGCTATCAAATCAATTAAAACCTGCGGTTGTCCTACTTAAAAGAGCACATTGTCGTTTTACGTTGACACATGACACTTACACACTTTAGGCTATGGAAGGAAATTATGGAAGAAACTTTGCTATAAGTGACACTCTTACATCAACATGCTAATAAATAACCATACCTTAACTGCGCAGTAAAACCAGTAGCCTATGATTTTTGATATTAGACCCCCGAAAACTTATCGGTACTCGGTAATCTTCTGAAGAAGTTTCACACTGCTGTAACCTGCTTGAAATTGACTCTACATCTTCTAAATAAAGATTGTCCGGTAAATCATTAGCGTCCTCTAGCGGTAGACCAAGCCCAACTCATCACACACACACACACACACACACACACACTCACACGCACACACCCACACGCACACACCCACATGCACACACCCAATTTACAACATTAAGAAAAACACTCTTCAAATAATGTCCAGAAAAAAAGAAAAGAAAAGTAAAGGGGAACATCACCCGGACTATATACATTGACCCTTCCCCTTTGTTTTTACACTGCTGCTACTCGCTGTTTATTATCTATGCATAGTCACATGTACAAATTACGACTAACCTGTTGACTCGGTACCGGTACCCCCTGTATATAGCCTCGTTATTGTTATTTTATTGAGTTACTTTTTTAGTTCATTTTTTACTTTAGTTTATTTAGTAACGCGGTAATGCCTAGATGGGATACAGCTTTTGTCAAATTCACGTCAAACGTTTTTGGGGAGTTTTTTTCATTTTAGCTAACCCTAACCCTTTTCCTAACCTTAACCTAAATATCCTAACCTGTTACTTTAATGCTCCTAACCTGCTACGAAAAGTTAATTTTGACTAAAGCTGTATCCCTTCTAGACAAAACGGGCTCACGCCGGGAGGCAGCCCGGTCCCAAATCGAATGCAATCAACTCTACCTGGGCATGCCAGGGGCATTAATAGAATACCCTCAATCACAAAATAGTTTATAAACTACATCCTGTCCTGTCTATGATACAGACTTCTCACAACTGATTCGTTCAAAAAAGTTGATGTACTATGTACTGGCCAATCATTAAACAAAGTCTTTGTACGGGGCGGGGGGAGGGTGTGGCTTATGAAGGTCCCGTGACCATTTCGCGCGAAAATGTGTTGCATGTTCCTGTGATGAAGTTCCCGTCATAGAGACTTTGATCAAGCCTTCATAAATAACTCGGTGACTCAAACTGCTGGGTTGAAATTTATTTATCGTTTGACCATTCGTCTTTCCTGACCCGAAGATTGACGTTGGACATTATTATGTCTCAGGCGCGGGTCACCGATTTTTTCATCCAGAGAAAGAAAGGTGCTAGTGGGGCTGCGCATGGTAATGGAAATAAAACGCTAGTTGTGGACAATGGAGTGGACACTGTAACAAGTAAGCCCGGCACAAGATCTACTCGGTTGAAAATCAAGAACGCAGCACCTACTACAAAGGTTACGATAAAGACTTCAAAATCCTCACGTTCTGAAAACAGTGTACAGGAGGAGTTTTGGAGGGTTATTGACGAGGCGACTTCGGTCGATAAGGTGGAGAGCGTGTCTGGTGTGCTGGCGAGGTCAGACTCGGAAAAACAAACACTTCTCTCGAGCCCTCGAACTCCCAAGAGGACCTCTGCAGACGCGGAGTTCGATCTTGGATCAGCTGTATTTTCAACCACTACTGAACATAGCACAGCGAAGAAGCGTCTTCGGATCGAGGCAAATAACGATTCCAACGCTGCAGGGACAAGTCCTGAACGGCTTAAAGTTGTAAAGAAGTCTGTCAGGAAGAAATTGATTCTCTTCAAAGACGATGAACAGGTAATGTTGGCTTAATAATGGTATTTTTGTAGGCTGCCGTGCCCCGTTGGCCAAAGCCTAGCTATGGGGACATTAATGTTATAAAAAAAAAAAAATGTTTTTGTAAATTAAGGTCTGTGGTAAACACAGGCATATGAGATCTTATAGCTACGCGTTGTTATGATACAATCTTCATCAACTAACGTCACTTATGTAGGCTAATCAAAACAAGCACAAATGCTTCAAAGGTAATGTTAACTGACTGATATTATAGTAACTAATTTGCGGTCTTTAGGACTACAAGTTGGCGAACTCTATTGCTAGAAATAACAACCAAGCAAGTCTGGTCCAGAATGATTAGCTAGTTAGAAATCATAAGTTAGACACAACAAAATACCTCACATAGACAGGAAAAGGCACGGCACATTTTTTGGTTTCCTAGTTTGGCTACTAGTAGTTAAAGAATTTGAAGACAAATTCTGAAGGGGACTGAATGTTTACTAGTCACAACTTCTTTTTTTTGTATCAGGTAAACCACCGTCTGGCTAAAGATGTCCCGCAGGTACCCAATCCACTACCTGTTGAGAAAGAATCAAAGAATTTAGTTAATCACAGTGCCAACAATTCTCCAACGCGCAAACCGCACGTTCAGGGCAGTTCAAAACCAAAAGCAGGGAACAAGGTACAGTGTTTTTGGTGGCTTATGCTTTCACCTCTGCTCATCACTGTTGTCTACACACCTGATCACAATTAGCCTAAATTCTAATTGTGATCAGGTTTCGTTTATCCTCAAGTTACTCTTTAGTCATACCATAATGGACAGCATCCTCACAAATGTTGCAATGGCATTGATTGTTGTCTTTCTACTACATCAGACTTTCTCCAAAGAGGATGTTGCGGCCCTCAAGTTCCGCCTTCAGAAGATCAAGGGCCAGACAAGGAAAGCTGAGAACCTGCCCTCTACGGCCCCTGAGTCTACTGCTACTGCCCCAGACCTTAAGACAAAGCTAGCCCATGTCAAAGAGCTTGCTGCTAAGGCACAACACAGGAAGGAGGAGAGGTTAGCAGAGGAGGCCAGATCTACTGAGGAAAATAATCAGCCACAAACAGAGGATGGGTGAGGATGAAAAGTATTTCAATTTTAGACAATAACCTTAAATTCTGCCAGGGTGGGTGAAGCTCAAAATAGTGAAATGTAATGCAAATTTATTCTACCACCTTTTTTAGGGGATCTTTGTTGAGAAATGGTGTTGCTGTAGTGGCTTTGATTATAAGTACTCATTTGTCCTGATCTATGGTATGTTCTTTTTCAGAGAGAAGCTCCCAGCCTACCAGCGGTACCATACTCTTGCCCAGGATGTTCTCCCTGGCCTCAGCCTGCCCTTCCAGTACAAACTGCTTGCTGAAATGTTCCGTAGCATGGACACCATAGTGGGAATGCTCTTCAACCGCTCAGAGACTGTTACCTTTGCCAAAGTGAAGCAGGGTGTCCAGGACATGATGCACAAGTATGGAGCAAACTTCAACTATCTAATTGGATGATTAGTAGAAAACCATGGGAAGGAGCAGCAGAAATATTAATTACTTTTTCTTTTTATTTCACAGGCGTTTTGAGGAGACCCATGTGGGCCAGATTAAGACAGTCTATCCTACTGCCTACCATTTCCGCCAGGAGAGAAACATTCCTACATTCAGTGCTACAGTGAAGAAGTCTAGTTACCAGCTCACAGTAGAGCCTGTCATTGAAGCCGGTGAGGGGATGGTCTCATGATACTTTGTATTCTTTCAACACAGATGAGTGTATTTGAATAATTGCTGATATGAGTGTCTTTCTTGTCTGTTTTTGTTTCTCAGATAAGAGTGAGGCACGTCCAGTGCTTGCTGCTTCCCGGCTGTTGGAGAGGAGATGTATTTTTCATCAAAACCTTGTCAGCATTGTGAAAGGGCGTCACAAGGTAGGCACCATAAGAGAGAATATTTTGTACCTGTTTACTGTGAGATGACCCGACTTGGTAACCGATCTGTATATGTTGTCTTTAGGAGTTCCTTGCCAAGTTGAATCCTCCTATTAGAGTCCCAGATGACAAGCTTACCCGCTGGCACCCTCGCTTCAATGTGGATGAGGTGCCCAATGTCCTGCCCAGTGAGTTGCCCCAGCCCCCACAGGGAGCTGAGAAGCTAACCACTGCCCAGGAGGTTCTGGACAAGGCCCGCTCCATGATGACCCCTAAGGTACTTACTGACCTGTCGGTCCTGCATTCTCCTCCACACATCCAACCTTTACACATCAACTGTGTGACGAAGACACTATCCACTTTATATTTGTAAATGTTCATACTGGCCATTGCACATTTTAATAATTTATACTGTATATCCTATTGTGTACTTCTACTACTATTTTATTGCACTGTTGCAGGAGCTTGCAAGTAAGCATTTCTCTGCACGTTTTATACTTGCTGTAAACTGTGCACGTGACGAATAAACCTTGATTTGATTGGGCTTTAGTTTGATAAGACATTCATTTCAATTGCATTGTTTGGTATTAATAATTTAGCTCTTTCCAGATGGAGAAAGCGCTGGCCAACATGGCTCTGAAGACCGCAGAGATGGTCTGTGTAAAAGAGCAAGAGCCTGTTCCACAAACTCCCGTAGCTCCTGCTGAAACTCACAGTGCCCTCAAAGGGGTGTCTCAGTCCCTGCTGGAGAGGGTAGGTCACCCTGCTGTTCCACTTAGGACACATGATAAATGTGTGCATGTGGTACAGTGTGCCCTATGCAGTGAGGACTGGGACTGACCCCTCTTTTTGTTGTAGATCCGAGCAAAGGAGGCTCAGAAGCTCCAGGCTGCCATGACCCGGAACCCTCAGCAGGAGGAGCGCCTTGTGATGATGTCACGGCTGGGGGAGCTGGCTCGGATCCTGCGTAACGTCTTTGTGGCAGAGAAGAAACCCGCCCTGATCATGGAGGTGGCATGTAACCGGATGGTCTCTAGTTACCGCTCTGCCCTGAGCACAGGTGAGTCATCTGAAGAAATGCCTGATTTTTTTAAAATTTTAAAAAAATGTCCATTGGTTTTCATTGCATTAGTTCTGAGGTTGACTGACTTATTTTTAGGTGATATGGAGACGCACCTTCGCTTGCTGGCAGAACTGACACCTGAATGGCTTACCATTCACACAATTAGAAAGGACTTCTATCTCAAGTTGAGCAAGACTATGGACCTGAATGTGGTACTGGAGAAGCTGAAGCAGAAGACCAAAGAGGAAGAAAGGCTTTGAAGCTTGAAACGGCTATGTTTTTCAATGATGTGTAATTTGAGTAGAGACATATTGACCTTTGTGTATATAATGCAATTTGTGACTTCAAGTCTTTTAGTGATTATTGTACATTGCTTGGCTGGTTTGTTTACATTTTAAAGCAAGTAAAACTGCTTGTACCAATTCAATAAGCTTGCGTATTTTGTGTGTAGATTCTAACCGACTCATTTTGCGGGTGGTTTTACAGTTGTGGGAGACTGTCAGAAATACTACCTAGTCAACCGGGAACACAGTTGTCCTATTTTTGTAATAAGAGCTTTCTAGTTCATGGACAGGTTTATTACTTGCCCTGTCTGTGTTTAATCCTTGTTTTTGAAACTGCATTAATTACACACCAGCATTGGATTAAATAGATTTACTCCTGTCAACTGCCATTTTATTTCTGCTTGCACACAGATTTCCATCAAGCAGGTTTGTGTTCTGTAGTGCACAAAATGTTTCCAATGTGAACTGTTCATTTATTTATTTTATTCTGCATAAGTTGGCCAACAATGAACGAGTCATGGTGAACCAAGTATACTGACAATGACTATGCCTCACAACAATAGCACCAGTACACAACAGAATAATTTATTACCAAAAGGAACCTTTAGACATTGATACTAATTGCATATAAATTGTGGCTAGCACTAATTGCCGGTTATGGATGAAAATAACCGTTAAAACCAAAACTATATATATTATCACATCACCTAAAAATATATATATTAGTGATGTGATCATTTGGCTGGCCAAATAGTCTTTCAAAATTCCATGACCGTCACCAATACTATATATATATTTATACATTGATTGCCATTTGCTTTATAGTGCATAGGTTAACTTTCCAAAGCATTCCTATGTAAAATGGTCTCCATTACAGTTGAGTAGGAACTGGAAGACAAACTACATCAAAGTAGTGTGTTCTAAACCATACTGCGGGAAACACTTGGAATTGTTTTGACCTCAATACTGCACCAGGGAGAACAGGGTATTTGGCTTCAGCTTTTCAACCCTGTTGAGTTCAATGACCACCATGCAGCCCATTACCTCTGCATTCTGTTTCTTCATGAGCTCACAGGCAGCATACAGGGTTCCTGACAAACAGTAGAGAAAGTTAGGTAGAGTACTACTGAGTCATGGAGGCATTATCATCGACACTGGTCTCGAAACAGTCGGGTCATGCCAATGAAACACTGTTCCCTTAGTTAAATCAATATATATTTTTATCTGTCAATACTGTCCACTCATTTGTACATAATACACCCAATGAACAGTGAAATGCCTCACCACCAGTGGCTAGTAGATCATCGATGAGAAGCAATTTCTGCCCTGGAGCCACTGCATCCTCCTGGATATCATCCTCGGCCTGATGAAGGAATATTAATTGAAAACGAAATAAATGTTAAACAAATAGCAGGTTCCAATACATAATATGTACTTTTCAGAGGCTTGGAGCTGTGATATGAACGGACAGAAATGTGTAGGAGGTAATACAGCGGTCATCACCAGCCAATTTCACCTTTCCATACTCCAGTGTGTATGCCACAGACACCGTAGGCCCTGGGAGCTTTCCCTTCTTCCGGATCAGCACAAATCCCACTCCTAACCTCTGGGCTAGAAGTGGTCCGAAGAGAAACCCCCGGGCATCCAGACATACAGTGGGGGAAAAAAGTATTTAGTCAGCCACCAATTGTGCAAGTTCTCCCACATAAAATATGAGAGAGGCCTGTAATTTTCATCATAGGTACACGTCAACTATGACAGACAAAATGAGGAAAATAAATCCAGAAAATCACATTGTAGGATTTTTATGAATTTATTTGCAAATTATGGTGGAAACAAGTATTTGGTCAATAACAAAAGTTTCTCAATACTTTGTTATATACCCTTTGTTGGCAATGACACAGGTCAAACGTTTTCTGTAAGTCTTCACAAGGTTTTCACACACTGTTGCTGGTATTTTGGCCCATTCCTCCATGCAGATCTCCTCTAGATTAGTGATGTTTTGGGGCTGTCGCTGGGCAACACGGACTTTCAACTCCCTCCAAAGATTTTCTATGGGGTTGAGATCTGGAGACTGGCTAGGCCACTCCAGGACCTTGAAATGCTTCTTACGAAGCCACTCCTTCGTTTTCCAGGCGGTGTGTTTGGGATCATTGTCATGCTGAAAGACCCAGCCACGTTTCATCTTCAATGCCCTTGCTGATGGAAGGAGGTTTTCACTCAAAATCTCACGATACATGGCCCCATTCATTCTTTCCTTTACACGGATCAGTCGTCCTGGTCCCTTTGCAGAAAAGCAGCCCCAAAGCATGATGTTTCCACCCCCATGCTTCACAGTAGGTATGGTGTTCTTTGGATGCAACTCAACATTCTTTGTCCTCCAAACACGACGAGTTGAGTTTTTACCAAAAAGTTGTATTTTGGTTTCATCTGACATTCTCCCAATCCTCTTCTGGATCATCCAAATGCACTCTAGCAAACTTCAGACGGGCCTGGACATGTACTGGCTTAAGCAGGGGGACACGTCTGGCACTGCAGGATTTGAGTCCCTGGCGGCGTAGTGTGTTACTGATGGTAGGCTTTGTTACTTTGGTCCCAGCTCTCTGCAGGTCATTCACTAGGTCCCCCCGTGTGGTTCTGGGATTTTTGCTCACCGTTCTTGTGATCATTTTGACCCCACGGGGTGAGATCTTGCGTGGAGCCCCAGATCGAGGGAGATTATCAGTGGTCTTGTATGTCTTACATTTCCTAATAATTGCTCCCACAGTTGATTTCTTCAAACCAAGCTGCTTAACTATTGCAGATTCAGTCTTCCCAGCCTGGTGCAGGTCTACAATTTTGTTTCTGGTGTCCTTTGACAGCTCTTTGGTCTTGGCCATAGTGGAGTTTGGAGTGTGACTGTTTGAGGTTGTGGACAGGTGTCTTTTATACTGATAACAAGTTCAAACAGGTGCCATTAATACAGGTAACGAGTGGAGGACAGAGGAGCCTCTTAAAGAAGAAGTTACAGGTCTGTGAGAGCCAGAAACCTTGCTTGTTTGTAGGTGACCAAATACTTATTTTCCACCATAATTTGCAAATAAATTCATTAAAAATCCTACAATGTGATTTTCTGGATTTTTTTTCTTCTCAATTTGTCTGTCATAGTTGACATGTACCTATGATGAAAATTACAGGCCTCTCTCATCTTTTTAAGTGGGAGAACTTGCACAATTGGTGGCTGACTAAATACTTGTTTCCCCCACTGTAGATCACACTGTTAAAACACAGTGACCATCCATGGTGTTGAAGGAAATATGACAGCTGCGACCTTCAATGAGCTCAGAATTGCCTAATTCCAAGACAACAAGAGAACTGGGGCGCTGCATGGTGTCCTCAGTGACACATGCTCCAGTCCCATTGCTTCTCATGTGAACGTTCCTCAGGAGCTGCATATGACTTGGTGACATGGGCTGCTTTTACACAGGCAGCCCAATTCTGATATCTTTCCACCAATTGGTCTTTTGACTAATCACATCAGATCCTTCTCAGAGCTGATCTGATTGGTCAAAAGACCAAATTGGGCTGCCTGTCTAAACGCAGCCATGGGTACTCACCAACAATCAGTGCTACTTGGGGATGCGTCTGCCTCACATGTTCCTCAAAAAGATCGATGACTGCGGTCAGTGCACCCGGGTCTTTGAGAATTGGACAGATGTCTCTGTGTGACAGACACAAACACACAACATATCATTCACATTAGCTGTTGAAATAAATAATCTAACTAGCCATCCCTCGTAAAAGACATCTTATATCGAGCCTGTCAACATAGCTAGTGTTAGAAATAGCGTTAGTTCAAATCTGGTATTGGATTAAGAGAAAACATGATCAAGAGGTATTCAATTCAAGCTAAATTTATTATATGCAAATGTACAGTGGGGAAAAAAAGTATTTAGTCAGCCACCAATTGTGCAAGTTCTCCCACTTAAAAAGATGAGAGAGGCCTGTAATTTTCATCATAGGTACACGTCAACTATGACAGACAAAATGAGAAAAAAAATCCAGAAAATCACATTGTAGGATTTTTAATGAATTTATTTGCAAATTATGGTGGAAAATAAGTATTTGGTCACCTAAAAACAAGCAAGATTTCTGGCTCTCACAGACCTGTAACTTCTTCTTTAAGAGGCTCCTCTGTCCTCCACTCGTTACCTGTATTAATGGCACCTGTTTGAACTTGTTATCAGTATAAAAGACACCTGTCCACAACCTCAAACAGTCACACTCCAAACTCCACTATGGCCAAGACCAAAGAGCTGTCAAAGGACACCAGAAACAAAATTGTAGACCTGCACCAGGCTGGGAAGACTGAATCTGCAATAGGTAAGCAGCTTGGTTTGAAGAAATCAACTGTGGGAGCAATTATTAGGAAATGGAAGACATACAAGACCACTGATAATCTCCCTCGATCTGGGGCTCCACGCAAGATCTCACCCCGTGGGGTCAAAATGATCACAAGAACGGTGAGCAAAAATCCCAGAACCACACGGGGGGACCTAGTGAATGACCTGCAGAGAGCTGGGACCAAAGTAACAAAGCCTACCATCAGTAACACACTACGCCGCCAGGGACTCAAATCCTGCAGTGCCAGACGTGTCCCCCTGCTTAAGCCAGTACATGTCCAGGCCCGTCTGAAGTTTGCTAGAGTGCATTTGGATGATCCAGAAGAGGATTGGGAGAATGTCAGATGAAACCAAAATACAACTTTTTGGTAAAAACTCAACTCGTCGTGTTTGGAGGACAAAGAATGTTGAGTTGCATCCAAAGAACACCATACCTACTGTGAAGCATGGGGGTGGAAACATCATGCTTTGGGGCTGCTTTTCTGCAAAGGGACCAGGACGACTGATCCGTGTAAAGGAAAGAATGAATGGGGCCATGTATCGTGAGATTTTGAGTGAAAACCTCCTTCCATCAGCAAGGGCATTGAAGATGAAACGTGGCTGGGTCTTTCAGCATGACAATGATCCCAAACACACCGCCTGGAAAACGAAGGAGTGGCTTCGTAAGAAGCATTTCAAGGTCCTGGAGTGGCCTAGCCAGTCTCCAGATCTCAACCCCATAGAAAATCTTTGGAGGGAGTTGAAAGTCCGTGTTGCCCAGCGACAGCCCCAAAACATCACTAATCTAGAGGAGATCTGCATGGAGGAATGGGCCAAAATACCAGCAACAGTGTGTGAAAACCTTGTGAAGACTTACAGAAAACGTTTGACCTGTGTCATTGCCAACAAAGGGTATATAACAAAGTATTGAGAAACTTTTGTTATTGACCAAATACTTGTTTCCACCATAATTTGCAAATAAATTCATAAAAATCCTACAATGTGATTTTCTGGATTTATTTTCCTCATTTTGTCTGTCATAGTTGACGTGTACCTATGATGAAAATTACAGGCCTCTCTCATCTTTTTAAGTGGGAGAACTTGCACAATTGGTGGCTGACTAAATACGTTTTTCCCCCACTGTATATATGATAAGTATGAAGGTTCGTATACGGGCTCACTGAAATACCACGCAGGGCAGACAGAGAACTGATCCATTGTTCTAAGTTCTTCTCCAAATACTCTGACAGAGATAGTTCCCGCTCCCTGCTGGCCTATCAGAGTAGAGACTGAGCGTGGTTTAGACTTACTCAGCCTATCGTTGGCGCACAGGCTGGTCCCAGCCCCTTGGCGCTTCACTGTTGCACACTGTTGCCAGGCATAAGTTGTTATCATCACAACTTGTCCCGAGTCAGCACCCATAGACACAGTTCCCCTGTACTTTCCCACCCTAACTATACTCTTTGTACCTACGTCCTTGTTCATATCTCCCCCTACTCCCTAACAGCTCCTCACATGAATCACAGCTTGTTATGTTAAACAGTCTATATCAGTACAGCACAAACCTATTATGTTTAATCATTAATGTATTCTTTCTAAGCTAGGCATCACATCTAGTTATAAGAAAATAGAACCCCACACTAGCTAGCTACTACAAAATAGTATTACAAGCATGCATGTTCTTTCGAATAGAGAGCTAGCATTGCATAGATGGCTAGCTAGCTAACTCAGCACATGAATGTAGTGCTAGCTAGCCTTATCGCTATAATCTATCATTCACTGCCTACCTGAAAATGATTCCTTTGCTTGGGAAATCAGGAAAATGTTTTATGTGTTTGGTGACCAATTCTAATTTTGCTTCTCTTGTGTGCACTGCCATGGCTAACTGTTGACTCGTGACTCGTGTGGGCTTTGAGGCAAAAAGTCAGATGCCTGGTGGTGTCACGTGACAAAATCCGTGTCGTCACTAGTTACCACAGCCACAAAGTCATAAACTCCGCCTATTTATGTACAATTTAAATCTTCTTAAAATCAGATGTTAAACCTAACCTTAACTATCTTGTGGAAACCCCAAATCCGTGCTGTTCGTTGACTTCGAGTCACAGCCACAAAGTCAGAATTAGCTGCCTATATCGTAAACATTTATGACAACAAACATTTGCTTTTTGGTCGTAATTTAAGGTTAGGGTAGACATACGGTTAGCAGTGTGGTTAAGGTTAGGTTTAAAATATTTTTTTTAAAGATAAAATGTAGAAATAGGCGGGGTTAACCATAATTATATTAAAATTCCTCTCATAATAGTGAGATGAATGCCGAGGCATCGCCCAAGTAGGTGCTTCACAGAGTGGAAGAGGATAATTCCAGTGGCTATATGACTCTGTTCAAGATCATCAGCAGACTCCATATTTACCATCCTCTGACCAGTTCCCTCTGCTCAAGCCACGAACTGACCCTCTCCATCTGCAGAGGATGCAGCATTCAAAGACTTGGCCTCTATTGGTTGACCTGTCATAATACATTGCCTGTTTATTTGTTTGTTTATGAAGCTCTTTGAGATTTATTTTATAAAAAGACGACCCATCGATTGACGCAGAAATCTTCAATCTGTCACCAACTAGAAAACATCTCATAAGAGCATTTTGAATGACAACGTTGCATAAAAATTAAACATTGTTTTATTCCAGTTGAAAAAAGTATTCCACAATAGTGCATAAGTAAGTAAAGAGAGAGAAAAAATCTTCAGATATGGCATCATTAACAAAAAGCTTCATTCTATTAATAATCATATGGTACCCAGACAGCATTCATCTCATTGTTAATGTCCTTCATTCAAACCACATTTTGTTCTGTTTCAACATTACAAGTTAAAAACAAATACAAATTCAAGTTGAATTCCTGAAAATTGCTCTTCTTCAAGACATCCTCCCTTTTCCCAGGGTGACTCTGAAACAGATAGCTAGTGTGGCCAGTCACACTTCCAGGGCTGTGACTTGGGGGCTTTAAGGCATTTTCCTAACTTTTCACATCCTGGAGGTGCCCAGTTCTGTTAGTGAAAGAAACCACAGAAAACAATCTTACACATTCATTCACCTGAGCTGAACAGGATTTACATTATGTTCTCCAAGGAAACCACATGGGGGAGATGCTGCTACACTAGTGATACACACATGTCTGATTCATGGACAAACAGTGCTTTAGCAATGAGCATACAAAACAATGTTTCTTTTTAGCTGTTTTGTAAAAACCAAAACCAATGAGACAGACTCCCTAAATATTCCAAAAGCAGCTAAAACCACAAAAATAGTTGTTGGGACAAAAGGTCCAAGAATCACACTGCTGTGTTTTTCCACAAATAACAATAAGATAGTCTATTATTTTACAAACAAAGGGAAAGAAAATAACTGGTAAACAAATCTGAAATTGTGCCCACATAGTTTACTGAAAGCATTCAGCATTATAAAAAGATAGAGGTAATGAGAAAAGGCGTCACTACAGCAAGCCCTTCCTCATTTTCTTTGAGAAAGAACACACTAGTCAGAGATGTTAACACTGAAAACGAAAGCCACAGAACAATACTATGAAATAAAATGTATTATATGAAACAAGTTAAAAGAGGCTACATGGGGAATGGACATTCTGTGGAGTATTGATCTTACCATGACAGCCATGTCACACATATTGAGCTGGGGCACACCTGGTACCAGACCCTTCTTATGCTTATCCACCACTGGTGTGATCCGACTCAGTGCATCCTGGTACTCCTTAGTCACAACACTGCAGAGAAACACACAGACATAAGTATTTGTGCAAAACACTCACCACACATACAAACATAACAGTCAATATTGGCATATGGTCACACCATCCAGAATTACAACAGCACAGTAAAGGAATACAACCACACCTTGTATTCACAAACTAACACAGACACACAGATTAATATAAAATGTCTGAATAGATGTAAGAGGCTCTCCAATCAGAGCGTGGCCAAGGACAAACACTCAGGTTTTCACCTTCTCCCACACACAACACACACCAATGGCCTGGTTATACAATTTAACACAGAGAATATATGTCAGTCACAGCATATAGACAGAACAGAAGGTCACTGCTCACACAAATGCACATTCACACACATACATATACACAGTAGACCCACAACATAGACCAGTGTAAAACAATCTCTGTATGATTAGCAAAACATTTTTCATAAATCTGCAGCTTAGCTTCCATGTGCTGTGCAGCCTAAAATTACTATCTATTACCATTGTATGGCACCTGTCTGCCTTTAAACAACTGATATAATCTATAGCGAATGTACACACTAATGACTGAAACACTAGTTTAAGAGCCTTTTGACAACAAACACACACACACACACACACACACTGCCCCTTTGGGGAGCCCTCTCAGCAGGATTGGCCATGTTCCCCATCCCCTGTCTCTCAATTATTCTTGTTGGACACGGCGGAGCACCTCTGTGCATTATTATATTCAGTGTGTAAAACGCAGAGGCCCTGATGTGTTTCAAAGGAGCACTGCTCTGTCTGCTCTCAATAGGACCTGTAGGGTTAATGGGCTCTCTGTGTTTGGGGGGAGTGGGCGGTTGGTGGCGCGACACGTGGATAGACAAATATCACCAGTGCAATTACACCCATAATACAGTCGCAGGCAGCACCTGTGTCAGCTCCGTCCCCCCCCCCCCCGCCCCTCCCCAAAGCCAGCTCTCTGATTGGCCCCTGGGGAGGGTGTGCGCGTGTGCGAGGTGAAGTGTCAATTAGTGTAATAACCCCAGGCCCTGTCCGGCTCACACCTCCCCTCCACCTCCCATCCTCCCAGAGGGCAGTGGGGCTTCCGCCACACAATAGCACCTGCTCCCCTCTTCCTCAGCCATGTGCTACTCCTATATTCACACCCTCTGCTCTCCCATCATCACTACTCTACCTTTAGGTCCTTAACAAGGCCATGGCAGTCAAAACTTACCATCTGCTCTCCCGCTTGGCTTGGTGGTTATTTCTTATGGTTGCGTGGTGACGCAATACTGTGCAATGATCCAGAATCATAACATACCACGGCCTTGATCATATCTTTAATGAGTAAAGGTTTCTATAGAAACAAGTGTTCCATTTCAGACAAAATTTTACTATGTATGTATTTGAAATCACTAATTCTGCCTCATGGACCAAAGACAATATCTTGATCAAAATGATGAAGATTTCCTTACCATCCTATCTGTTCTCTGCTCTGTATTGATCACTGTGATTCGTTTTCAGATAACTTCTGAAGCTGCTTTATCTCACTAAATATTAGAACCATACATCAGAGCCAAACCAAACACAGTGTGCAACACAGGCGGCTGGTGGCACCTTAATTGGGGAGGACAGGCTAATAGTAATAGCTGGAACGGAATAGTTGGAATGGTATCGAACTCATCAAACACATGGTGGTTTCCATGTGTTTGATACCATTCCATTAAATCCATTCCAGCGATTATTAGGAGCTGTCCTCCCCTCAGCAGCTTCGTGTGGTGTGCAAAGTGTACACTCAGCCCTTTTTGAGTAAACAGACTATTCTTTGTCTATGCATTGAGCACCCTAACCCTAAAAATATATAGATAAAAACATATTTATTTCTCTCCTCCCTCTCCATAAATAAACAAAGAAAACTCCAGTCAGCACAGCCTCATTATCATTACTATAACCCTTAGCTCACTTGTGCAAAAGCAAAAACTGGAATAATAATAACACTGCATGCAAATGAAGTCTTTTGATTTATAATGCATGACACCCAGGGGGAAGGCAGCATTGCTCAGGTGTGTCACCACACTCTGATTAGTGATTCATAACCCCACTGGTAGAGCGAACACACACACACACACACACACACACACAGCAGCAGGCATCAAGCAGAGGGAATTGAAGAGACAATCAAATACCTCTGCCCTTTCTCCTCCTCCTGTGGAAATTGAGCAATTCGGTGAAGACTATTGATTGGGGGCTGAAGTGCTTGTCGGCAGCAGATGAGGCCAGAGTGTGCAGGGCTGCCTGCTACATTAGCCCGAGGCAGGCTGGGACTTAAGTGCTCAGCACATGGTGACAAGGGCCCAGGGGAAGTGTGCCGGAGCAGCATGAGGCAGGAGCAGGGCTAAGTCCAGTCCCACTGGGACACAGGCAGGGAGAACTGGGCTGTCTTACTATACACCGGACCTAATCAGCCACACCTTCACACTGATCTACTACCCACAGGAGGAGTAATCTACCACACCAATAGAAGTGGACTAATAAGAACAATTTCATGTGCTCATGTACAGTTTGAAAACGCTTACCCGTAAATTCACTGACAATCGGAATACATTTTTTATCTAAATCTCTCACTAGATGCAGCGGTAGAATGCCGATCTCTGTGTGCTTGTGATTGTCTTGTTATTGTATATCAATGAGATAAACACAAAATATGAAATATACTAATTCAGATATTAATGGAAAAGCATCTTCTTTATTCCCCTGGATTCCACCAGCAGGTCTCTAGTGAGTGTGTCCATGTATCCTAAGAGGCTGGGACAGTGGAGCGACTGCCTGGGCAGTGTGTGTTACTGCTGTTGTATCAGCCTGCCATAGAACTGAAGGTATGTGTGCAGACAGGCCCTACATCATCTTAAGTGGCTCTTTAGGTGGAGACAGAGATTAATGACGGCCAGCCGGTCCAGCTGGGTGCCCAAGGAGCACATGGCCAGCAGCCTGCCTGACACACAGACAGGAGAGGGAAACAGAGAGAGGGAGGAAAGGGGAGGGTGGCTGGGTGTCATTACTGGGGCTGGAGAGATGGGGCTGGAATATTGTGACCTCACAGACCACCACAATGACCCCCACTCACTTGGAGAGGGGGGACGCAGGGTCCTCTCTCCAGGTGCCAAACCAGCTCCTCCTCTCCATAAGTCTGGGACACAGCCAAAAAAAACTCTCCAACGCATTCAACACAGCACAGCTATAGATTTTTCTGTTTTTAATTCGGCTGATTGAATAGAAGAGAGCAGAGATGAGATGGGCTGATCAAAAACAACATGAATGTTTAATTATTCCATCTCCCTTCGAGAGAGAAAAGGAGTGTGGGGGAGATTAAGAGAGGAGAGAGGGATAAAGTGAGAGAGGAAGAAAGAGAGAGAGAAAGAGAGACGTATAGAGAAATGGTGAGGGAGGGAGCCAGCCAGAGGGGGTGAAACAGCCTGGGGGACAGGAGCTAATCCGACTGAAGAAAACATTAAGGAGAATGAAGACGGATCAGAGAGAAAGCTAGATAATAGGAAATTGTATTCCCTCATCAAATCATTCTGAAAACTATATGAATGTATGTCATGCTTTTGTTCATCTCGGAGTGTCTTTGCCAATAAAAAAATGAAGGAAAAAAGAATAGAGAATGAATAATGCTTCTTTTGTACTCTTAAGTACAGTTAAGGCCATGGTTGTCCACATTTTCAAACCATCACAATTACATTTAATGTATAGAACAAAATGAAAAGGTATTCTAAATAAAAACTAACATCCAACTGTTTTTTTACACCATTGCCTTTTTCCAGTGACTTTTAACTCTACTAAGGGTTCATGTTCGAAGGCACACAAAAGTCCATTAAACAGCACTCCCTTTTGATTTATATGAGAACAATTTGTCTTGCAATTTTAACTTCCAGCAGTGGGTCTGAGGCGAGATAGCGATCTTTAAAGAGCTATTTGCAATCACAAAGAGTAGTGTTTAATCAGCCAGTCTGGGGCTGCACAGATCAATCTTCAGTCCTCACCGCACCTCTTTCACACAACTGGATCAGTATTGATCCCATAGATTCTGTCCCCCAACATCCTACAACCCCCTCCTCCTCCTCCTCCTCCTCCTTCTCGTCTTCTCTTATTTAACCAGAGGCCTGCTGTTTGTTGAGCTGTGTGGAGATTGGCTGACCAACACCAAGCCCTGTCTATATTTCCCTTGCTTTTCACTTTACGTTCAGTACAATCTAACAGTACACCAGGAAATCTTTGTTTGTTTTAGTGAGCACTCACCTGATAGGGTATTTCTCCCCGGGGTCCCGCCCCAGGTGGAAGATGAGTGGCCGCATGGTGTGGTCCTGTTGGGTGTGGGTGGTCACGCCTGCCACCTCTTGGCCTGGGCAGAAGTTAATGCCCTGTAAGAGTGGACACACACATAGACACACAATTGATCTTTAGCTTCTAACACCCACTTCACAGAGGACAATGGAGAATGTGGTGGTAACAGATAACCTATTTCAACTGAACTGACAATGAGAAAGTGCCCTTGAAAAGAAAATTCAATTAAAAAGACAAGATGGATGGCAAGATGCAGTGTGCTGTCAATGATGTCCACCTACAGACCGACACTCTCACTGCACACCTGAACATGTGATACCGTCTCTCTTTTTGAAGGTATGGAGGAATCTGTCCAAGGGAGCTGAGTGTAGATGTGTACAGTACAGTGTATAGTGTGTGTGACTATATCTGTTTGGTATATAGTATCATGTCTTCCTCACCTCCAACCTGTCAACCTGTTCTCTCTACCCTGGGGCTACGGTATGCATGTGACTGTTACCTATGTGACTATTCTATCTGCTAGTCAGAATGTGGGGCCATGGCCTGTACATTTGTCTTGCCGATCCCCAAAAGTGTGCATGCTTGCTCCCCTATATGCCCCCCCCTCTGGGGTAGCAGCCTGGCTCTGATCAGAGGCTGATTGAGTCACAGCCCCCTCCAGACCCCCTGGGGAGACCTCTCAGGTGCCCTTGTGAGCAACACAACTAATATTGAGAGAGCACTCATCTGTAAGGCACTCTACCTACCCCCCCCCCCCTCTGGGACCACAAACAGCCACGCTCAAAGGAGCACAGGCACGAGCGCGTGCACACACACACACCTCACTTCAGTACACTGCACAGCCCACTATGATCCAGACTTACCCACATACGGTACTGAAGCAGTCTCTGTGCTGTGGTCTTAGAAATGTAAAATAGCCTAAATCCCTCTGGACTGTGAGAAAGCCCTTTTTATCTGTATCCAAGAAGAAGACACAGCAGAACTCCATATATCCCATGGTATTAATAATATAGCAGATCATACAGCAATGTTCTTTTAAAGATGGAGTAAAGTAGTCAACATTATAAGACGAGGGGATAAATCAAGGGACATAAAATGGAATGCAAAAGTAGAATTTTGGTTGAATATTTTCCTCAAAGAAAATGATTATTAACAGTATGCTACCCACCAAAGACAAGGCCGAGCAGATAACATCAGATACAGACGGGTCCCATTCCCAACACAATAGAATACCTCACACCATTACCACACCATCCAACAAGAGTGTTTGATGAAAACCACTTACCCCTGTGAAATGTCTAATTTTGCACATCACTGAATCTCTTGGATTTCACCAGAAAAATCACAGTAGAGCTCATGGCTATAAAAGCCATAATTGAATTTCAAGTTCAGAAAGACACACCATCCTCGTTTTATTTTTTACTGAACATAAATAGTAAATACACAACATTACTTAAAACTGGTAAGAAAATGGTAAGCTGGAATGATGGATCAACATTTCACCACAATATTCAGACCATTTAAAACCGCTTCAAATATAGAGTGGTTTTTCTGTGTGATGGATGCTCGGGTGAGATGTGAGGGTCAAGCGTCATTGTAAAGCTCTGAATGCTTTCTGCCCATTCTGGTGGAGACCCGACACGTTAACTCTCAGAGTCAGCTTTGGAGACCCAGAGCCTCCTCTTCAAACCATCCTTTGCTCGCAGACACACATTCACGGACACACGCACGCACACACACCAATCGATAGGCAACTCACAGGCAATCAGACGCCATTATTTGTGAAGTTCCACTCCAGTTCACATGAGCTGATAAAGGAGGCTGCTATTGATTCAGCAGCCCTCTAGGAGAGAGCAATTTAAGCAACCGATCGGGCATAATACAAACTTGCACGTTTGAAAACAGAGGTTTCTGAGGGAGAGGAGCAGGACATGTTTTAAAGGGTGCCAAGAGGAGGAGAGAACACATTCTCACTCCTCAGGGCACAGGAGGGAAGAGTAGGATACTCAGCAGGAGGGCAGAACGCTCCACCAGCGACAGGCAGTGCTGATGAATGATAGCACTTTGGTGAAGTGGGGTGTCCTCATTAATATTCATTAGCCACTGATGTACACAACAGCCACTTGATGAGCTGTTTTCAAGATAACACTGACTACCAAATGTGTTTTTTTGGAGAGCATTCTGTATGGCTTGTTGAGGGCGTGGGGAAGAGAGAGAGAGAGATAATGAGAGATAAACTACAGTCAGAGAGAAAGAGAGAGAGAGAGCAAGCGAGAGAGCGAGAGAGAGAGAGAGAGAAATACACACAACAGTCACTGAGAGTGACTCACCTGGTTAAACTCTTCCCACGAGTTGCTCCACGTCCAATAGTGGGCCTTGTAGGGCCCAACCCTGACTGCCATCATCTCGTTGCCGCGGTAATAGAAGATGGGCCTGTTGGGTGTGAAATGGGATTGGTGACTGCTGGATTCCTGTGATAAGCAGCAGCCCTCTCTCAGCTCCAGGCCCCCCTCCCTCCCAGGCTTGCACCCCACCACCACCACCATCATGCAGCCATGGCTCATCCCATTATGTGCTTGGTGGAACACCTTATCCACCAGGGTGGTCCCTCTCCCTGGGCCCCAGCCAGCAGCCTCCCTACAAGGGGCACCGCCACCACTGCTCTGCCCAAGCCTACATCCGCCCACCCATCATACAGCAGGGGCACGAACTCCCAAAGTACTGTGACCAGCAGAGGGCATAGCTGACCTCTGAGCCAACTCTCATAGCCAAATCCTAACTTCAGACTTGCATGTGATGGAACTCTTATTGAGTGGTCCATGGTTTTGCTGGTCAAGTTCAAGTTATGTTTGCAGACCAAGTTAGGAGGGTAAGCATATAAACAGTATACAGAACACATCTTCATCACCTTATCTTACATGCATGAATCCCTCTGACAGGGCAATTTAAGCCTCTCTCAGCTGCGAGTTCTAACCTGTTGATGAGTGTGTTGTTGTGGAGGACAGGGCTGAGGTCCAGTCCATCTACGAGCCTGTCGTCTGGAACACTGAGGCCAGCCACAGACAGACTGGTGCTGAACAGATCCATTACAGTCCCCAGCTGCTGGCTCACCTGGAGATGGGAGAAAGAGTCCTGGTATTGAACTGTAACACACTGGAATTCTAATCCAGACAGAATCACATTGTCTATGGGTGCTGACATGAAAGTTTAACAGCGATTGTTGTAGGAAGTTAGATACCTTGCATGGGCATCCATATGTGCCAGAGCAATGCACATACTGATCAATTTAATTACAAATACTAAAACTTTGTTCCCAAATTACAATACTTTATTTGCTTTAATCAATTAATATCCTGTCAAAATGCATGATCGTCTCCTCCAAAGCTGCAGTGAGTGTCCATGTTAGGCCCCTGAACAGCGCAGCGCGGAAGCCTTGTGAAGTGCAGTGATCAGAGCAGGGCTGGGGAGCAGAGAGAACTTCTCCTTAAAGCACAGTGATTCACACTACTGGGAGGCTGTGATACACCAGCAGCCTGCAGAGACACCAAGGGATCCCTCTCCATGCATGAAACCCAACACGACAGCACAATGGCCAACAGTGTGCACGCACCCCCTATGAAAGCCCACCATTACAGGGGATGGGGTGGAGTGGAGGGGGGCGGGGAGGGAGTCCTGATGATGCATTTCTTCAGTCTCCTCTATAATCTGCGCTCACAGGTTTATTATAAACCTCACAAACGCCTCTGTAAATTAGGAGAAAAAGAGGAGTGAGGAAAAAGAGGGAAGATGAGGCCCGGGCTAGAGCTGGCTGTTTTATCTCCCTTCCCCAGTCCCTGTGAAAAGCTTTATTTTATTTATAAACTTTGAACTATTTTCAGATAAAATGCAATTTTTTCACTGTCATCCTTGATCTTCCATTCCATTCTCTCCTGAGCAGCCCTTTGAGGGAGACGGCACGCTCACAATCAGATAGTGCTATCAGCCCAGAGCAGCTGCGCCGCCATGTGCCGCCATGCTCCTATCAGCTGCCTGCACACACCACCGAAATGAATTCCCTTTTCTCCCGCAGCCACTGCACCAGCCAGAAAGGGCCCTGCAACACATTCCATTATCTGCACTCTCACGCTTAACACACACACACACGGCAGAAAAAAACTAGAGGAGAAAAAAAGGAGAAATCAAAGAGGACAATTAATGAAGTTGACTACGAGCTAGCACAGACAACCCTAAATCCTCCACCAAAAAATGCTAACCATTTTAAAGTCTAAATAGTTGAAAGAGACCATTTCATTATCTCCCATTTATTTCAATTTCCACTTTTCTCTCCATTCTGTACATTTTTTTCTGTCTTTTTGCCAGCCTTTTTTTCTTCTGTGTGTTTCTTGGTTAAACCCTGGCGGTAGTTATCTGACGTGGCAGACCTGCTATCCCTGTCTAATGCACTCAGGCTCCGTGTCTCCCAGCTGATAAACACAACAAAAGGGATTGTGACGGTGGCAGCAGCAGTGTTGGGGGGAAAAGCCCCCCTTTCCCCCTCCATCCCAGCCAGCCAGCCAGCCTCATCCCACCGCGGCCCCTCAGTCACCGGGGGAATGTGAACCTGTGCCCGGCTCCTGCCGTCAAGCTCATCTCTCTCATTCCAACACATCTCCCAAAACTCTATCTGTCCCTCAATACTAACAACTAACACTTTCATTAGAGCTATGTGCTGTACAGTCACAATGGCATGCTAGGTTAATCTACACACTGATAAACTTCCAACTTTCATATTTTTGTGTTACTTTAACCTATCAAATCACTGTGCAATAACACTGTGGCGTTCACACAGATTGTCTTCTTCCTCTGTTGAAGATTCTTATAATGAGTGTGAGAATGTCAGAAAATAACTTTACCTAGCCTAACCTGAAACTAGTCCAACCAGACCTATGACTCCTATCAGTGTGTCAACTTCATCAATGATGATTTGATATGATATATGTACGTATAATAGCTGTAGTTTTTAACCTGAAAACACGTTTAATCCTAAACTATTTAGAGTAGGCCTTGTTAATGTTTGCTGGTCCCTGTACCAACAATCCACCTAACAAAAGCGATGTAGCATGTGTGGCTGTTCATTATGTGCAGCATTTATGTTTAGGGCTTATGAAACTTTTCAATGTGCAGATGAACAGGGAGATTTCAGCACCGCACAAAGCAACAGAGAGGGAAATCATCTCTTTGGCCATCCTCCCCAGCAGCAGGGAGATTAAATGAGACCCATACAACAATGCTGCTTTGTCATAGACTCACAGAGGAGCTAGTCCCATGTATTACTGCCAAATCCACAGACTAAAGCCACAGATGGTCTTCAGCAGGGTTCCCCAACTGGCAGCCCGAATGTATTATAACATATTTTTTTGTAATTCTTGGACATAAAAAAAGACTGTAAAAACCCCAACAAATCAGCTCCAAGTGATTTTAATTTAGGAAATCTGTTCCCAAGTATTCCCACACATAATAGAGAGACGTGATCGTATACAAATGTAAGCAAGGTTTGAAATGATTATGTTTTAGTCAAATATTATATCTGTTTGGGCTTCTTGCGGTCAATTTGCAGTCTACAAAATATTTGTAATTATGTTCCGGACCCTTGACCATCCTCTCAAGAAAAAATTGTCCCGTGGCTGAATCCAGTTGATGATCCCTGTTCTTCAGCATAGCAGTGGTGCCTCGTTCACAATACTCTGTTCTCAGAAGTGTTTCATCTGGAGTCATTTCTCTGGTTAACCCGCCAGCAGCTGCTACAGACACACGTAGTCACAGAGGTTGGGCTGTCATGGCACTGCACCAGCACACCAAAGACCCTGCATACAAAACCCTCCCTGGCACTGCCATATTTTCCAGAACCAACCCTATAGAGCACTGCACCGGGTGCACCCTTCCCTCTCTTCTACCAACTACCCCTTTACTTCTCTTTTTTTCTGTCCTTTATCCTGTGTGCCTGGCATATTCAGATACAGAAGCCCTCATTACAGCTCAATCCAACCTCAGCAAACACACAAACAGATTAGCCGCTTAAGACGCTCCCAATCCCCCTCTCCCTCGCCACTCTGCAGCACTATCAGGCCACAGCACACCCCTCAGATATGAGCCGGGGGCAGGGCTTACTTCAGCCTACAGACTGCTTCCTCCGCTCGCTCCTCCAAAAATCCCTCTGCGCCACAGCCCCGTGTCACAGCTGCCCCTAATACAATTAAAAGTCATTTGCAGAACGCACAGGCTTAGCGGATCAGGGGGAAAGTCTTCCTCACAGGCTCACAGAGGAGGAAGAGAGGTAAGGGGGGCGGTTAAGAAGATGAACCTTGCCACCTCAAAAAATATTTGAAAAAAGTCCACACTTGCACACACATACACACCCACACGCGCGGACACCCACACGTTCAAACAAAAAAATGGTGTGTTTGATTTTGCAATGCCAGCACCTGAGGAGAGTAGAGTTGTGATGATGTTGAGGACATTGATACACAATCGAAACAAAGAACTACAATGATATGAGAGAGACGATTACTGAAATGACTAACTGTAATTACTTTATAATGTGGTACCTGCTTGAAAACCCAGCTGCTTACAGACAGATAACACTACAGTGTGTCTCATTTCTGTGTGTAAACACCAGATGTTCCATAACTCCAGACAAGTAGAACCCCTAGAACATATCTAGAACACCTGGAACCTGGAGATGTTCCGGACAGGTATAACAGAGAAAGAGAAGAGTTCTCACCATGCCTGCTGGGATGTGTCCAGGCCACCAGGCGATGGCAGGTTCCCTCATGCCCCCCTCAAACGTAGTTTCTTTCCCACAGAGGAACGGGCCGTTACTGCCACCTCAGGGGACAGAAACACATCAGTCATACACTAAGCACCATGATAAAGAGATTACTAAAACAACTTACTTTATACACAACTGAAAGGAGCTCCAAACAAAGAAAACACCCACACATACTACTCATAGACATAGAGTACATTACTCATATCCATCCATACATGCATTTATACAAGAACTTTAAGAAAGCAGCATGTAATTGCATTTTTTGGTATCAGGGGATGAGTTGAGAGACTTAATTATGGTGTGCAGCTCTTACTTTGCTTGGGGCCGGACATCACTGCAGCCCCGTTGTCTGAGGTGAAGAACACAAAGGTGTCCTTGTCGATGCCCAGAGCACGCAGCCGGGCCAGCATCTGTCCAACACTGTAGTCCAGCTCCATCACTGCATCACCGTACCTGCAGTACACACACAAGCCACTCAAACTACAGTATCTCAGGAACTTCAAATGCCCAATCCCAACTCACCATAGACAGACTGACAGACAAACCGACAGACAGACAGGTATGTGTAGACACTAGGGCTAGGCAAACCCATCAACCAAGCTACATTCTCCTAGAAAACATGGAGGTAAATTAGGTATTTACTATAAAACATTTGGTATTTAGCAACAAGAGTTTTCACCAACAAAAACATGGACTAAAAGCCTGTTGGAAAAAATAGAAAAGTATTCCATCTCAGTGTGAGCCACCTATCCCAGGCACCTGGCTAATACTTTTAATCTCTGATCCATTTCTCTGTCAACAAAAACCTCATTTGGCATTCTGAAGAAATGCCTGCTTAGTGAGGCCTGAGTATTCACTGAGACTGAGAGGAATACTAAGTGACCTGAGCCTAGACGAGCAACACATCCCTTTACCCTCACCACAACCACAGAGGGGCAAAGGGGTGTGAAAAATCAACATTTAATTGACAAATATCCTCAGAGCAGGAAACAGGTTTTTTTCTTCTCTTCATTATTACAATATTTTTCTCATTTCGATTTTTGAATCTGCATGTTGATACAGTGATTCTGTTTTTCCAAGTGGCATCTAATTCTGCTCACGTTTCCAGGTGTGAGATGGGAGATAGATCACCTAGTAGAATACCCAGTGGCTCATGCTAATGTAATGACTTTCCCCACCCTGTAACAATGCTGCAGGCACAGCTCATCCACTGCACACATTCACAAAGCCCCTAAATCAATGGCCTAAGACCCAGAGATCCAAGCAGAGCTTTAAAACAACAAGCCAGTTTGGTAAACATTGTACTGTACTGGGGTAGAATATCATCAAGAGATATGGACTAATTAGGTCCTATAATAGCCAGATCAACAAAGCCAGCAATGATACAGGTTAATAACCAAGAGGGTGTCCAAACCCTCTGCTCTGGAAGAAACTCTCCATGCTTTGTCAGCAACACATCACATGTCTCTGTGTAAGACTATTCAACTAAGTGTCCGATATGGCATTATTATTGACAAATTGTGATTGTAGCTTCAAGTGTTGTGATCCTACCGCCCGCTCTGGCTCTTCCCCAGGAACCGCTTTGAAGCGTAGACCGGAGCGTGCGTGGCGTCTGCTGTCCAGTAGAGAAAAAATGGCCGCTGGGCCATGTTTTGGTGAAATATGAAGTCAAGGCCTTCCTGGAGGGAAAGAAATTAGATCATAGTCTGCTATCAGACCAGATGCCATCCAGAAAAGTCACTACAAAACTGACAGAGAACAATAGTGTAATGGGAACATTTAAGATTAATAAATTAATATTCAGTTAAAAGTAATTAACACAATGCTTAGCATATTTATATGTTTTCTCTTTATGTAATACACATGATTTCCAGTGTTGTATTTGGGACACTCATTTGTCACTAGACTTGATACTGAATGTTATGGATTGTTCTCAAATTGATTTGCATTTTAATGAGGGAAATAAGTATTTGACCCCCTCTCAATCAGAAAGATTTCTGGCTCCCAGGTGTCTTTTATACAGGTAACGAGCTGAGATTAGGAGCACACTCTTAAAGGGAGTGCTCCTAATCTCAGCTTGTTACCTGTATAAAAGACACCTGTCCACAGAAGCAATCAATCAATCAGATTCCAAACTCTCCACCATGGCCAAGACCAAAGAGCTCTCCAAGGATGTCAGGGACAAGATTGTAGACCTACACAAGGCTGGAATGGGCTACAAGACCATCGCAAAGCAGCTTGGCGAGAAGGTGACAACAGTTGGTGTGATTATTCGCAAATGGAAGAAACACAAAATAACTTTTCAATCTCCCTCGGCCTGGGGCTCCATGCAAGATCTCACCTCGTGGAGTTGCAATGATCATGAGAACGGTGAGGAATCAGCCCAGAACTACACGGGAGGATCTTGTCAATGATCTCAAGGCAGCTGGGACCATAGTCACCAAGAAAACAATTGGTAACACACTACACCGGGAAGGACTGAAATCCTGCAGCGCCCGCAAGGTCCCCCTGCTCAAGAAAGCACATATACAGGCCCGTCTGAAGTTTGCCAATGAACATCTGAATGATTCAGAGGAGAACTGGGTGAAAGTGTTGTGGTCAGATGAGACCAAAATCTTTGGCATCAACTCAACTCGGCGTATTTGGAGGAGGAGGAATGCTGCCTATGACCCCAAGAACACCATCCCCACCGTCAAACATGGAGGTGGAAACATTATGCTTTGGGGGTGTTTTTCTGCTAAGGGGACAGGACAACTTCACCGCATCAAAGGGACAATGGACGGGGCCATGTACCGTCAAATCTTGGGTGAGAACCTCCTTCCCTCAGCCAGGGTATTGAAAATGGGTCGTGGATGGGTATTCCAGCATGACAATGACCCAAAACACATGGCCAAGGCAACAAAGGAGTGGCTCAAGAAGAAGCACATTAAGGTCCATCTGTTGATAGTGATTGACGCCAGACTGGAGGTACAAGGACCGAGGACATTAATTGTTATTATATTCTGTGACACTGTGCGATTCTGTAGCAGCTGATGTTGTGACTTCCTACCTGCCTCTCAGCGGGTTGTTTACAGAACATTAGTGCTGTGAGATTAGAATATAAGGGCCTGCTTAGAGAAGGCGAGTTAGACATTTTCTCTGCTTCTGTGCTGGAGGTGTCTCCCTGTTGTAACTTGTAATTAAACTGGATTGATTTTGATTGGCTTTATCAATGACTGCTCTCCTTTTTGTTCACCTGGAAATTCCTATTACAAGTAGTATTTGGAAGGATGAACTTGGACGGACGTCTGCCACTCACTCACTTACCTTCTAGTAGATTTGTGTGAGGTTAGATTCTCCAGTTTTCTTATCGATCCCAAACTCCTCATAATATCTGGAAAACAAATGTACTTCATTAGTTTCCATGTCATCTACATAAGTACAATAGTTCTTAATTATCAATATGACTCATACACAAAACTCACACCGTGGCTATTTAATAAACAATACGTTCTATTCCAAAAACCCAGCAACAGACTTTGAGAAGCCCGTCCTCCCAGGTTGTGATTAGAGGAGAGTTTAGAGAAGCAGATTTGAGAAGTCTCTGAAGAGTAGGGGAACTGTTATGAGATAGTACTGAAGCGTGGAGTGGTAGACGCAGCAGCGCCCGCCGTCTCTCTCATGCTCGGGCTGTTCCAGGTGTCCTCACACACCGCCAACGCAACCTGCCGTCTCCTGGGTGCGTGTGTGTGCGTCTGTCCAGGCTCAGGTACGTTATGCTGATTAAACCCACGGCTAAGCACAAAAAGCGCCCGCCTGCTAGCGCCAATGACCCTGAATACACATATGGCTGTTTTGGGGAAAACAAATGGGCGGAAAATGGAATACACAAGCGCAGCTGGTACAGAGAAGAGGAGTAAAAAAAACTCTCCTCATCCAGAGGAGCAGCCAGCTGAGTCAAACACTGAAAGGGAGAGAGGATTTTTATGTTTTCTGTTCTATGTGAGTGCGGGAGTGAGTGTATACCTTCCCACCATCTGAGAGTTGTTGTAGACCGGGACATTAGGCCTGTCACTGCTGTTGTAGGGACCGAAGTGGCAGTTTGGAGCTCCAAACCATTCATCAAAACCATGCTCCAGAGGTAGGTGGTGAGCTCTGTGACCAAGATGCCTTAGGCCAGAAAAATGATGGGAGAAGGAGAAACACAGAATTAGAATTGTCACTATTGTTACCACTTCAAATGAGATCGAGATGAATGGTGCCCACCACTTGCCGATGATCTTGTTGACGTAACCCTTCTTCTTCAGTACCTGTGGTAATAGAATTTCATCCTTTGAGATCCCTCCCACTATCTCCTGGGGTGTGTAGGCTGCAAAGGTCAGGGGTTACATTAATGTGTGTGGCAAAGCAGCAAGGAAAATAGAACTCAAGAGAGAGACAGAGTGAGAGCTCACCATTCCTGGCATGGGCATTGGTGGTATAGAATCCATTTCTAACTGGTAATCGTCCTGTCAGAAGTGAAGCTCTGGCTAAGGAGTAATAGGATAAGAGACATCAACATCATGTTTTGATAAACGATTTAAATGATCAGCTGAATGCGTAGTTAATGTGGGAGAGGCTGCATGTGATTTTACACAACGTTCCACAGTTTGTAACTAGTCAGATTACACAAATTTAACAAAGGCAAACACCAAAACGTAAACAGACGTATGTATGAACCGAGTTGAGCTTTGCATTTGGGTTTTGCGTCAGGCTATATGTTCAAATAAAAAATATATATGGGAGCATACCCTGGATATTGTGATTAAGCCACGTACCATTTCAGTATATGATTACATTTCTAATTAACATTCAGTGGCTGGTTCCTCCAATACCCTCTCCGTGGTGTTAATACAAATAGCCAGTTATCATGTACTTGGCTTCCATCAGGCACTCACATCACACACACATATAAGATGAGCAATTGATTAGGTCTTATTTGCTTAAATATTCATTAGAAAAAAAGAAAAGGGTCGATCTATTTTGCATAACACGTTTATTCAAATTCTCAAATTAGGCATAATTAGAATATTGCCATAGTGTATTATCCCTATTAGCATAATGCATCTTCTCCCCTCTATCACCCAGGCACACACAGCTTAGGCTTCTGATGTATGCATCACATTGTTTCAAAAGGCTTTTGAAGGATTCCTGGCTGCACCTACCACCAACCTCTCACCCAAATCCCACTTAATCACAGTGAAGTTACCATCACTGCAACTATTCCTCTCCAATGACAATCACAATATTATTGAATTGTCATCATTGATTGTCGCACTTACAGTCAGGCTCTTATGCACGTGGTGCCAATTCCTATCCAGAATTGGCACCACACTAGCTATCCAGACTATGAATTCCTTCTGTCTTTATAATCAGTGTAATATGTTTTCATATCTATGAATTCAAGAGGATTGGGATTTTAATCAAGTATGACATGTATGTAGCTGACACCCACATGGAGAGCAGAGGGGGTTAGCTGTGTAGAAGTTGGGGAACAGCATCCCCTGGGCAGCCATGGAGTCAAGGTTTGGGGTCTCCTTGGAGGGCTGGCCAAACACCCCCAAATCTCCCCAGCCCATCTAAACATTAGAGGAACAAGCTGTCAAATGTCAGTGGATCATGATGCTATGATAAGCATACTTTACATTAGAACACAACATCACAAATAGAGTTGCAGAGAAATGGTTGCCATTTCCTGACAGAGACCAAATACAAAGCATGCTGTGTAGTATTGTATGTCAATGTGTCAAGTATACGTGGCATATAATCAGAGCGGACACAGCCAGTCATGACAGCATTCCATTTGAGTAATCATGCCACAGGTTTTACAGAAATAAAAGAAATAAGTTAAGGGTTCAAGTTTCATCCCCCAAAAGTAACACTCCCCAAACTAAACAGATATCAACATCTTACGTCATCCATAAGAATGATGATAATGTTCGGAGTCGACTTGTTTGAAGGATTCTCTGCCCAAAAACCACATATTAAACTACAAAACAATATCAACGTTTGAATGAGACAGACATCCATTGCACAAAGCAAGACGAAAACAGCAATGAGGAAGTGTCACATGATAACACATTCAGGAAGCACATGACGCTTTATTATTGTTTGCTTTCACGAGCGCAACACTTGCGCAAATTCAAGCAGTGAAGCCAGTGAGTGAAACTGACTTTACTGCCCGATGTAGACGCACTTAAAAACACATTTTTGTATCAAATCAAAGATACAAACAGTCCCGTTATTTTCCATAAACAGTTACACAAAAGCACGGGAGAAATAGAAGTTATCTGATTTGTCTTTAGCTATCACACAGTCACGTGATACGTCTGGCAAGCACAGCAGACAGAATTTCAAGATGGCGGTCTGTATTGCTGTCATCGCTAAAGAGGTAAAATGAAACAAGAATGCTATTTAAATCCACATTTGATGTGATGTCATTTGAATTTCTTTTATTTTATTTTATGTACTAGCCTCTACGAACCTGAGTGGTGACTGTGATGCTATAAGGCTAGCTAGTAGCTAGCCAGCTGGGCTAACTAGCTAAATGGAGTATGGTTTATTTAGAACTGACTAGCTAGCTAGCTATGTTGTAGAGTTCATTTGAGGTATAAGCATGCAATAATACTGCATCAAGTCAGACTTCAGGTAAAAGGTCCGGACATAGGTAGCTATTCTTATTCAATTAATATGCAGATCAGTGCTGTTCTTCCATCTTGGTCCAAACCAAAGAAGGCTGTGGAGGCTTTTGTTCTAGCCCAACACACCCAATGTTAACTAGCTAGCTAATCACTTAAGCACTCAGGTGTGTTAGTATTGGGCTGGAACAAAAGCTTGCGCTCCCGCAACCTGTGGTCCAGCACCATAGACATTATATCTGCAAGTATTTGGGCAGTTGTATACATTATCTTTTGTGATGAATTTAGGTTTTATTATGGAAGGTTGCACTAATTAATTTCCTATTCTCTCTGTTAGAATTATCCTCTGTACATCCGAAGTGTACCGATACAGAATGAACTGAAGTTCCACTACACGGTGCATACCTCTCTGGATGTGGTGGAAGAGAAGATTTCAGCAGTCGGCAAAGCTATGGCAGACCAGAGAGAGCTTTACCTTGGGTTGCTGTACCCAACTGAGGACTACAAAGTGTATCCTTCTCATATGATAAAATTGTATATTACACTCCTTTCTGCATCATGTTTTTTTTCCTATTGAAATTATTTTTACCGACTTACCAGATATGGCTATGTGACAAACTCCAAGGTGAAGTTTGTCATTGTCGTGGACTCGTCAAACACATCTCTGCGGGACAATGAGATTAGAAGTGTAAGTCATCCCCTGACTTCGTATGGTTCCCTTATGTTATCTTAATGGCTTTCAGGGGATCTGATTGCTTCATAGTTTGTCATTTTGATGAAAACTACTTGACACATTGGTTATATTCTTTCCTTCAGATGTTCAGAAAGCTACACAACTCATTTACTGATGTGATGTGCAACCCATTCTACAATCCTGGAGACACCATTCAGTCCAAGTAAGTTATGCCCACCACAGTGTTAATATTGCAATGGTGTATCTATCAAAATTGCTATTATCATTGTCTGATTTACAACTTTTCTCTCCAGGGCCTTTGACAGCATGGTGTCTGCAATGATGGTGCAAGTTAGCTGATATTGTCGTCCTCCTGAACATCTGTACATAATTTCCTGAAACCCTTTACATGTTGCCTCGTGTATAAACAGTAAAATAAACTATGTCCATCAGAACCTCTGGATCATTTACTCCATTTCAAGGAAGCACTATCAAGTGTAACTATTCATTTATTAATTTCTAAAGCAAAGATGTTTGAAAATTATACACAGCAATAAACATTGCTTCAAGTACATAGCAACAACTCAATCGCTCAAACTGCCAATTGCATGTCAATATAGTTACAAAAGAAATACAAAAGAAAGCCAATCACACCCCACATTTTATCATTTGCGTTTGGTGTTTTACAACAACTACACTTATTTACAAGCTCAATAGCCACACACCAACAAAATGAGTGATCTGATCAAAACATCCTTACAAAAAAAGTATCTGACATTGGCAAATGGTTGTGCATTCAAACAATTCTTGGGGTAAATAATGGCACAGTAAAACTGCTCAAGAAATAAAATACCATAGGCTCAATCTTTTACAGTATTAAGCAGCAAACCAAGGCTGGCCTCTTCCATTTCCCGTACAATAAGAGGTAAAAATGGCCATTGCAAAGTCTGACTTGTTAGGATTAAGTTGCAATAGCTTTTTATGGAGGCTGTTAACAAAAGACGCCACATGAATGAATTCAATGACGAGGTTGAAATCTGTGCCTTTCTCTCGATTTCTGCCCATTAACATGCATAGAAAATAATTAGCAAATGAGTCGAGTAGAGACGAGCAAGTCACAATTTCCTGAAATTCTCATTCCATGTTGATATCAAACAATCACTTGAATCCAGACGTGATTCAGTAGTGTTGCTGCGGGTGCATGTGTCCACTGTGCCCTGGCCCCGAGTGGTCAGTGGGTGGGGTTATGAGGAGAAGGCATGGGTGCCGTTTAGGGCCCTGCTCACGGTGCTCAGGAACCCCCCAGTGTCTCTTCCCAGCTGGGGGCCCGTAGGGGTGTGGTGAGACTGACCTGGCTGGGCCAGTGTTGTAGCGGAACCTGCCTTGTTGATACCCATTGTTGTATCTGGGTGGGTGGAAACCTCGTCCCCTGGATCGAGCACCTCTGTGAATCCCCCTGTCTGTGGTGCTGATTCCTGGCATGTTGGTCCTTTTAGGCAATACCTGCAATGCAAAGGCCACAGAAATAACCTACTAAAATACCTGGAATCATCTTTTACAATTAACAGGAAAACTTTATTCGGCTCGATTTATTCATGATTGTGCAACTTTATCAATCAAGTGTGTTTTGAGTTTAGAATTCTGGTTTTCCCTTCCTACTAACCTTTATGACTCTGTCTCTGAATACCGTCTCATCCAGGCTCATGGCAGTCTGCACTGAGTCCCTGTCATGGAACTCAATGTATGCAAAACTGGGAGAAAGAAAGTTGTCAACTTATACACAATAAAATACTCAAATTGTAAGCAGAACATACAAAATGTCCAAGAAACAAATTAAAATGGTGCATAAACTATTTGTAATTGGACTTCGCATTGAAACTGAGGTCCCACATGATGGAATGGATAGTTAACCTCACCCCTTGGGATGGCCCGAGAATTTGTCACAAAGGATGGTTACTCTGTTGACAGGACCACAGCCATTGAAATGGATCTCCAACTCATCTGCAGTGGCACCATACTCCACCTGTTTTCATTTTCAGAAAACATCATGAGTCTACGCATGAGGACCCTCAGTTACTTTGTGGATATCATATCAAATAGGATGTGTGTATAACTTGACATGAATGCTAAAGATAAATGTAGACCTTAAATAGATAAACCTTACATTCCCCACATAGACAGATCTGTTGTCAGCATCTATCCTTTCCTCATGGGTCATTGTATAGAACATTCCTGCTGTTTTGAACAGAAGAGAACACTGGAGCATATTGCACACAATAGAAATTAAGACAAACACAAAGCAACTACTTACAACAACACCTAGAGGAATTGAGGACTAGTTAGATATTTTATCAAGAGGTGTTTGCGAGAAGACACTAAAGAGACAGTCCCATTCCATCAGAGGAAGGGATAACCTGAAATAGAGGTTGCCGGGCCTTGGGCAATGAGGATACGCTGCGGCTCACTGCTTGTCTCATTGGGCAATGATGAGGCTCATGTGAGCTACACCGTGGCAGGCCAGCCCAGCAGATGGGCTCAGGTGTGGGCCAACTGGCAAGGCTGAACAGGAGTTGGAGCTCACCTGCCTGGATATGTCTCTCTGTTGCCTCATACTGCACCGCTCTCAGCCTCTCCTCCTCCTCCATCTCTTGCACCCGTGCCTTGATGGCTTCAAGCTCCTATATAGAAAGGGTAATGCCAAAACATCTGAAATATGCAGTGTCATAAGGGGTAGTGTAGGACTATGCAGTATGAGACAATTTTAAAACTTTAAGACAACATGAGAACATGTCTGAAATGTATGAGATGAGCGAGTGCCTTGAGGTTTCGGAATTCTAAAGTGGCAGCGGGCCCACATATGTCTAGCATCTCAGTGGCCTATATGAACAGCTGTTTTAAGTAGTTGTTTGAGGGTGCAATTATATTGTTGTTCAGAACCACACATGCTGCTGCCACATTACGCAGGCGCGCAAGACGCGCCCCAGTGGATGGATATATTGCGGCAAGACAATGCCGTTTAAACATACGAAACTGTCATATCAATCAGGTAACATAGGTGGGACATCGACGTGGCATATGTGTTGCAGTAATAATACCATAGGCTACCTGGAATATCCCTAAACCCTACGTTGTTATGTAGCCTACAATCATTTGCGCATTCAAGAAAAAAATCAGTAGGCTAGCCTGCAAATGGTATCACGCAAGGCCTAATGCAATTATCGTATGTTTTCTTACATACCGGGTCCTCCATGTAATGATCTCCCGCGATCTCGCCTTCTATGTACATATCTTGCCTTTGCTCCGCCATGTTCAGTGCTCAACAGCAGACACCAAACCCATGCCCGCAGACGCCACTTCAATCCCCGCGACGTCGCTCTCTTGTAGCCAGTCCAGTGTAGGAGACTCCAATGCAATCGATGTTTAAAAAAAAATAATCACTTATTCGATTTGAATAAGGCTAATAAACATAGCCTATATACAGAAGGTTGTTTTTCTATTAAATAAAAATATCTACCCACGCCCTTATCAATAGTGGTTGCTTACCTGTCTGTCAAATATGACGAGGGGGAATGTCAATTAATTGTCACCTGTCAGTGCATCACATGGTTGTGGTCTCGCCCATCAGCTGTTGGATGGGCATTTTATAAAAAAATCTGTAAAGGGTCATTTTTATTTTCATAAATGCCACCAAGTCCTTCTCGTGTGGTTTCAATGTGAACTGCTATTGATTATATAATGTCAGGTCAGGATAAGGTGACTTGTCCAAGTGCTGCCCGTACCCCATGGCCTATGTGAAATATTATGAAAATAACAGTAAAAAGCCTGTTGTGGTCCAGGATCTTTGTCTATGCTTTACCTTAATGTTAACCTAACTGTTGATTCCGACCCACAGAGGGTGCCTGAATGTCAGATGTAGCCAAAGCCTATTGGACTTAGTCACCTGTGTACTTTAATGTTTCTGCTGGTACATATACCGTTACCTTTACAAATCCCCTTTTAAGGTCTATCAGATTATAGTGGCATTCAAACTCAGCTGAGACCCCATTTTTCCCCCCAAGAATCTAATAATGACACAACCTAAAATTGGGTAAATTTCGATTTTTACATCAACAAATAACCTTCAATTCATTGCATTTTCATCTTTTATCAAAACGAAGAGAAACCAATAAATACATTTGCTCAATAACATGTTATTTATCAAATTATCTTTCTCAAAAACGTTTGTACAGGCCTATTGTCCCATATAATAATCTGTACTCTTACATTTTTATATACACTACCAGTCAAAAGTTTGGACACACCTACTCATTCAAGGGCTTTTCTTTATTTTTCTTTATTTTTTACATTGTAGAATAATAGTGAAGACATCAACACTATGAAAGAACACATATGGAATCATGTAGTAACCAAAAAAGTGTTAAACAAATCCAAATATATTTTATATTTGAGATTCTTCAAAAAGCCACCCTTTGCCTTGATGACAGCTTTGAACACTCGTGGCATTCTCTCAACCAGCTTCATGAGGTAGTCACCTGGAATGCATTTAAATTAACAGGTGTGCATTCTTAAAAGTTTATTTGTGGAATTTATTTCCTTCTTAATGCGTTTGAGCTAATCAGTTGTGTTGTGACAAGGTAGTGGGGTATACAGAAGATAGCCCTATTTGGTTAAAGACCAAGTCCTTATTATGGCAAGAACAGCTCAAATAAGCAAAGAGAAACAACAGTCCATCATTACTTTAAGACATGAAGGTCAGTCAATACGGAACATTTCAATAACTTTTAAAGTTTCTTCAAGTGCAGTCATAAAACCATCAAGCGCTATGATGAAACTGGCTCTCATGAGGGCCGCCACAGGAATGGAAGACCCAGAGTTACCTCTGCTGCAGAAGATATGTTCATTAGAGTTACCAGCCTCAGAAATTGCAGCCCAAATAAATGCTTCACAGAGTTCAAGTAACAGACACATCTCAACATCAACTGTTCAGAGGGGACTGTGTGAATCAGGCCTTCATGGTCGAATTACTGCAAAGAAACCACTACTAAAGGACACCAATAAGAAGAAGAGACCTGCTTGGGCCAAGAAACACGCGCAATGGACATTTGTCCGGTGGAAATTTGTCCTTTGGTCTGGAGTCCAAATGTGAGATTTTTGGTTCCAACCGCTGTGATCTCTGCATGTGTATTTCCCACCGTAAAGCATGGAGGAGGAGGTATTATGGTGTGGGGGTGCTTTGCTGGTGACACTGTCTGTGATTTATTTAGAATTCAAGGCACACTTAACGAGCATGGCTACCACAGCATTCTGCAGCGATATGCCATCACATCTGGTTTGGGCTTAGTGGGAATATCATTTGTTTTTCAACAGGACAATGACCCAACACACCTCCAGGCTGTGTAAGGGCTATTTTACCAAGAAGGAGAGTGATGGAGGCTGCATCAGATGACCTGGCTTCCAGAATCCCCCGACCTCAACCCAATTGAGATGGTTTGGGATGAGTCGGACCGCAGAGTGAAGGAAAATCAGCCACCAAGTGCTCAGCATATGTGGGAACTCCTTCAGGACTGTTGGAAAAGCATTCCAGGTGAAGCTGGTTGAGAGAATGCCAAGAATGTGCAAAGCTGTCATCAAGGCAAAGGGTGGATTTGTTTAACACGTCTTTGGTTACTACATGATTCCATATGTGTTATTTCATAGTTTTGATGTCTTCACTATTATTCACTATTAGTGTCAATCCACTGCGAGGTTGTGTTTTCTCTAGCAGGAGGTAAGCTTGGCTTCTTATATGGTGTTGAGTAAAGCTTAAACCATGTATTTAGATTGTAGGTAGGTATTGTAGTTAGGTATTGTAGGTAGTTTATTTAGGTAGTTATTGTAGGTTATTGTAGGTAATTATTGTAGGTAAGTATTGTATTCGGCGGTGCCCGGTGAAGCACGAGGCTAGCACGAGGCTAGCTAACCCACTACCTGGACCAATAAAGCTAGCTAGCTAGCGGGTAGCTACTGGTAACTTTTAACAACTGTGGATAGTTGTTTCCAATGTTATTTCACGCTTAAGAGTACCTGTAATTAAGCCAGCTAGCTACCTACCATTCAGCTGTTTTTCTAACCTCATTATCTGAGGCATTAACGTTAGGTAGTTAGTAGCTACTGTACTTAATTACAGCTACTGATTGCAGAAGACCAATGTCTTCTTGTCTGCCACCCAGACAGCTGGCGTCGGGTAAGTTTGGCTTTATACATAGCTTGGGCTTTGTCGAGTAAGGCTTAAACTATGTATTTAGATTGTAGTTAGGTATTGTAAGTAGGCATCGTGGGTTGTTGTGGGTAGTTATTGTATGTAATTATTGTAGGTTAGCATTGTATTCGGCGGTGCCAGGTGTAGCACAAAGCTAGCTAGCTAGCTAACTCACCTCCTGGACTAGCTGGCGAGTAGCTATTAGCAACGGTAGCAACTAAATACAATATCCTTTAGCCAGCTACATTTGTTCGCAGCGTCGCCGTTTTTCAAAACAAAGTCAACACAGCAGCCATTGCTAGCTAGCCAACACGACCAGCTAGCTGTACTGTAGCAGCTAAATACAATATATTTGTGCTAGCTAGCCAACGTTTAATTATTGCTGCGTTATGAAAGGAACTAGACACGGACACGAATTATCTGTTTAGTGTGTTAACACACTATTGGTAGTTTGTTGTAACCAAGTATTGGTGCTAAACTGTGTGTTATTGGATGCTAGCATGCTAGTTAGCTATGGCGTCATAGTTAGCTAGCTGAATAAAGTAAGTTGAGTCTATTCCTTGAAACATTGAACCGCTGTAGTTTACAACAATTCTAATTTCTAAAGTGGAAGTTGGGAGAGTTTTATTCGGGTGGTTCAGTGAAACAATTATAGTTTCTGAGGTGGAAGTTGGGAGTTATATTTGGGAGTTTTGGTGAGGGAGGCCCTACTCTCTCCTTTCCCAGATGTTTAGTTCATTTCATTCCGATCTCCTCTGCATTATTGTAGCCATCTGCTGCAGCCTGTCAACTATGCCTCTGCCTATCCCTGTTCTCTCCTCTCCGCCCAGGCTACACAAACGCCTCGCAACGCGTGGCTGCTGCCTCTCTAGCCTGGTGGTCCCTGCACGCACGACCCACGTGGAGTTCCAGGTCTCAGGCAGCCTCTGGAACTGCCGTTCTGCTGCCAACAAGGCTGACTTCATCCCAGCCTATGCTACCCTCCAGTCCCTCGACTTCCTGGCGCTGACGGAAACATGGATTACCACTGAAAACACTGCTACTCCTACTGCTCTCTCCTCGTCTGACCATTTGTTCTCGCATACCCCGAGAGCATCTGGTCAGAGGGGTGGTGGCACAGGAATCCTCATCTCTCCCAAGTGGACATTCTCAATTTTTCCCCTAACCCATCTGTCTATCTCCTCATTTGAATTCCATGCTGTCACAGTCACTAGCCCATTTAAGCTTAATATCCTTGTCATCTATCGCCCTCCAGGTTCCCTTGGAGAGTTCATCAATGAGCTTGACGCCTTGATAAGTTCCTTTCCTGAGGATGGCTCACCCCTCACAGTTTTGGGGGATTTCAACCTCCCTACGTCTACATTTGACTCATTTCTCTCTGCCTTCTTCTTTCCACTCCTCTCCTCTTTTGACCTCACCCTCTCACCGTCCCCCCCTACTCACAAGGCAGGCAATACGCTTGACCTCATCTTTACTAGATGCTGCTCTTCTACTAATCTCACTGCAACTCCCCTCCATGTCTCCGACCACTACTTTGTATCCTTTTCTCTCTCGCTCTCCTCCAACACTACTCACTCTGCCCCTACACAGATGGTAATGCGCCGCCGCAACCTTCGCTCTCTCTCTCCCACTACTCTCTCCTCTTCCATCCTATCATCTCTTCCCTCTGCTCAATCCTTCTCCCTCCAATCTCCTGATTCTGCCTCCTCAACCCTCCTCCTCCCTTTCTGCATCCTTTGACTCTCTGTGTCCCCTATCCTCCCGGCCGGCTCGGTCCTCCCCTCCAGCTCCGTGGCTTGATGACTCATTGCGAGCTCACAGAACAGAGCTCCGGGCAGCGGAGCGGAAATGGAAGAAAACTAAACTCCCTGCCGACCTGGCATCTTTTCACTCCCTCCTCTCTAAATTTTCTTCATCTGTTTCTGCTGCTAAGGCCACTTTCTACCACTCTAAATTCCAAGCATCTGCCTCTAACCCTAGGAAGCTCTTTGCCACATTCTCCTCCCTGCTGAATCCCCCCCCCCCCCCCCCCCCCCCCTCCTCTCTCTGTGGATGACTTCGTCAACCACTTTGAAAAGAAGGTTGACGACATCCGATCCTCGTTTGTTAAGTCTAATGACACTGCTGGTCCTGCTCACACTGCCCTACCCTATGCTTTGACTTCTTTCTCCCCTCTCTCTCCAGATAAAATCTTGCGA